AAGTGGGTGAAAAGCAACAGGGAAAACGGTACGAGATGGGGTTGCGGGCGGGTGGGTGGTGGGTGGGTGTGTGGGTGGGCGGGTGGGCTCACGTGAGGATGCCCATGGGCCTGCCGGTGCGGCTGTGACCCCCCGCCTGCTCGCCCCGCCACTGCTGCTGCTGTGCCAGACGCAGCCGGACCCGTCACAGCAGCAGCAGTGGTGGTACTGGTGGCGGCGTGGGCATGGGCGTGTGTGTGCGACGAAGGCACGACGATGACAGCGGTGACGCCTCGGCTCCGCATGGTGGCAGCTGCTGCAGCCACTGTGGCGTTCGGGTCCACTGTCACTGGACTGAAATGTGGGGTGGTGGGGAAGCATAGGGTGGAGCGCACAGAGAAGGGGCAGATTTTAAGATGTGTCAGAATGCTGCTGCATGGTGGCGGCTGCTGCAGCCACAATGGCGTTTGGATCCACTGTCACTGGACTGGCATGGCGGGTGTGATGTAAGGGGCGTGGGCGCACAGGGTGGGGCGCACAGAGCGGGGCAGATATTAAGAGGTGTCGGAATGTGTTGCATTGTGGCGGCTGCTGCAGCCACTGTGGCGTTCGGGTCCACTGTCACTGGACTGTTAAGGCCGGGCGGAGACGCACAGGGTGGGGCGCACAGAGCAGGACAGATTTTGAGATGTGTGAATGCGTTGGGACGGCTGCTCCAGCGACTGTGGTGTTCGGATCCACTGTCACTGGACTGGCATGGTGGGGAGGGGGTAAGGGGCGCGGGTGCACATGGTGGGGCGCAAAGAGGGGACAGGGTGGGGCGCACCGGGTGGGGCGAGGGAGGGAGGGAGAAGGAAAGCAAAGAGGGGGAGAGGGAGAAAGGAGTTGGACAACAGGCCTGTGAGGTGGAATGGGCTACGGAAGGTGGACTGGCGGAAGGAAGGGGGGAGAGAGCAGCAGCATGAGGTGGGAATGCGAGATAGGCAGAAAGGTGCAAGGATGAGGTTCAAACATGGAGTTGTGGGACACAGAGTGTGGTGACGTGGAGAGAAAAGGACTGACAGGCAGGATGGAGAGTGACAGGCAGGATGGTGACTGACAGGCAGGATGGTGACTGACAGGCAGGATGGTGACTGACAGGCAGGATGGTGACTGACAGGCAGGATGGTGACTGACAGGCAGCACGATGAGCAGCAGCAGCATCCCACCTGGTTTCATCGCCGATGAGATTAGCAAGGGTGGGTCGAGCAATCTTATCTCGCAGCGACCCCAGGAACCCTGCGACAGGCAGGGAACGGAATGGAGTGCACACGCACGGGATAGGCATCAATGCGTGCGTGGAGGTGGTGTAGCAGAGCAGGGGAGAGAAGCAGGAGGGTACAGAGGGGGCGGAGCACGCACGGGGTGTGCACGGTATGGAAAGGCGGGCAAGCAGTGCACTCTAGGAACAAACAACACAGAAGCAGTGCCTCTTGCTGCTGCTACTGCTTCCCCGAAGGTAGGAACTCGTCCTGCTCTCCCACAACCATAACCCCCAACACCCTTCCTTGCCAACCACCCTCACTCTTCACTTCCCCAAGTCCCTCCCTCTCGACCAACCCCCGTGTCCGCTCCAGTCTCCATCTTTCACCCACACTGCGCCTCTCACCTCCCCTTCCCTTTCTCCTTCCTCCCCGCATTCCCCTACCCTCCACCCCACTCATCCAATCCCAATCCCGCTTCCTCCACCACCACCACAACCCCACCCACCCCACCCCACCCACCACCCACAGCACTGCTCGCCACTCCCGGCTCCCTCTTTCCATCCTCTGCAGCAGCGGCGGCGGCGGCAGCAGCGGCGGCGGCGGCAGCAGCAGCGGTGGCGGCGGCAGCGAGGGCATGGACATGCACGGGAGAGTCAGTGAGAAGATGCGAGTGGGCAATGGCATCATGCAGGCAGCGCGTCACATCCAGCACACCTCACCCCCACCCCACCCCACCCCACCCAACCAGCACCACTCACCAGTACTGCTCGCCACTCCCGGCCCTCTCTTCCATCCTCTCTGCTGCTGCAGCAGCGGCGGCAGCAGCAGCAGCGAGCGCATGGCCATGCAGGGCGGAGTCAGTGAGGAGGTGCGAGCGCGCTATGGCATCATGCAGGCAGCGCGTGACATCCAGCATCGCCACCACCTCGCCGCGCGATACCACTGGCAGGTGCCGGAACCCTCCTGGTGCATGCACGGGGATGAGTGTGGGTGGGGTGTGGGTGGACGGGGCGGCGAGGGGCATGGGAGGGGAGTGGGAGGGGAGTGGGAGGGGAGTTGGAGGAGCGTGGGAGAGGACATGGGTATGACGTATGGTGTTAGGGGTGTGGAGAAGGGTCGGGGTGGAGAAGAGTGAGCAGATCAGCAAAGGAGAGATGACATGGGCTGGGGGGGAGGGGACGGGCAACAGAGTGCATGCAATGCAATGACGCAAAGGGCGTTGTTGTAATGAAAGGGCGTTGCTGTAGAAAGGAGGGAAGGGCGGAAAAGGGGGAAGAGGCGAAAATGAGGGGGGGGAGAAAGGGCGGGGGGGGGGTGGGAGAGAAGGGGCGAGGGAGAGGAAGGGGGTTTTGGAGAGAGAAGAGTGAGGAGAGAGTGAACCAAGATCCCAACTGGCAATCCCGCACCCTCCCCTTCAACATTCTTTACGATCAGAAACCCATATCCCCATCCTCCTCCATCCATCCTCTTCCCCTCCCCTGCCCCTCTCCCCCTCCTGATTCCTTCCCCCACTCCACTTTCTCTCTCGCTCTTCCCCTTCCTCAACCCCTCTCCCATCTCCTACTCTCCCCGTCCCTCTCCATTCCCCCTTCCCCTTCTCCCCCTACCCTCCCCCCTTCCCTCCCCCGTTCCCTCCCCCTTTTACCCCCTCTCCACAACCTTCTCGCCTCCCCTCCCTCCCCCCCCCCCCCGCACCACGCACCGCGCATCATCTTGTTGAGGGCGTCCATGGCAGACGAGCTGATGCGCACAACTGCGGCTGACGTGTCATGATGACGTGGCACGGCGTGGAGTCCACACGCCGGCCCTCTCCCACGCACCGCAAGGCAATGTCCTGTGTTTCATGTGCATGCACAATGCACACGATGCAGACCATGCACCATGCACCATGCACCATGCACCATGCACCATGCACCATGACCCATGACCCATGAAACATGTACCATGCCCCATACAGGATCCATGCATGCAGCGCATACAATGCCCCATGCTCCACACACAGCAGAGAGGGCACACGGCAGGAGAACAGTGCAGCCCATTCTCCTTGAAGCACGGACCTTGTTGCATGCCACACACATCACACATGCCTCCATCCCACATTCCACACCCCATACCATACCATAGGTCATGCCAGGCCCCATCATGTTGCATGCACACACACAGCAGACACACACAGCAGAGAGGGCACACGGCACGAATATGAAACAATGGTCTCACACATACTCCCACCTCGTCACTCATGCCCTGCCCTTCCCTTCCACGCCCGCGCCCATGCCCGCGCCTACGCCATGACAATTCCCAACTTATCGTCCATCTCCCACATGCCACACCCACCCAATGTGACATGATCCCGCACAGCAGCCCGTTGCTGTCCCTCACGCCCATGCCATGCCGTTCTCCTACCCATTGCCCATCCCACATTGCCCAACCGTGCCACACCCGTGCGACACCCGTGCAGCAGCAGCCACACCCACCCGGTCGGACATAATCCCGCACAGCAGCCCGTTGCTGTCCCACATGCCCATGCCATGCCGTTCCCCTACCCATCGCCCATCCCCCAGCAGCCCCACACACCCACCCACCCGGTCGGACATGATCCCGCACAGCAGCCCGTTGCTGTCGGTGAGCAGGCATGCGTCCACGCCGTTCTCATGTCATGCCATGCCATGCCCTGCCCATGCCATTTCCTCCCCCCCTGCACCACCCACCCACACACCCACCCGGTCGGACATGATGCCACACAGCAGCCCGTTGCTGTCGGTGAGCAGGCACGCGTCCACGCGCCTTGCCGCCATGCGCCTGGCGGCCTCCGCCACGGCCGTGCTGTCCGCCATGATCAGCGCCTTCGACAGCCGCAACCGCCGCACCGTGCGCTCCTTGCTGCTGCCCCCGCCCCGCCACGGGGGGGATGAAGGGCGCGCGGAGTGGGGAAAGGCGGGGGGGGGAGGTGGGGGGGGAGGGGAAGGGGAGAAGAGGGAAGGAGTGGGGGGGAGGGGAGGGAAAGGGGGGAGGAAGGGGGAGGGGAGGAAGGGAGGAAAAAAGAGGAAGAGAAAGGGCGCGCGTGACCGTTGGCTAGGCGCCAAGCGGGGCAATGCGGGGACCAATGAGGGTAGAGTAGGGTAGGGTAGGGTGACGGAGAGCTGGTTGTGAGATGGGGTGAGATGGGGTGAGATGGGGTGGGGTAGGGTTGGCAATGCAGGAAGACAGTTGGGAACCCGAGAAAGGAAAAGAACGCCTGGAACGCTAAGATTCGAGAATAAAATAAAATTCGTGAAAATTAGGTGATTTCGGTCAGCCGTTATGATGCACCTCCCTATTCGCGCAATACCTCGCACGCGCACAAACGAACAAACGCACGCATGCACGCGCGCGCGCGCGCACGCGCACGCGCGCACGCCCACCACCGCACCTGCCGCCGACAGCCCCGCTGCTGCTGGACGGCCTCTTAACGTTGCGCGCGTCGATGTTCCCCGCGCTGCCGCTAGTCGCGCGAGACGCGCCGCCGGAATCCCCCGCTTGCCTCTGGCCCGCGGAGGGCGGAGGCTGAGACCGCCGGCGCTGGGCGCCTGGCGAGCGCGCGGGGCTGGAGGACGGCATTGCGCCAGCCGGCGCGGCGGGACCTGGCGGTGCGGCGTCGTCAGACTTGGAGGGATTCATGGCCGCGACTGGATAAGGTGGCGGAGACCGTTGCTGTGTTAGTTGATTATTTCATGAAGTCAAGATGTCATGACGCCATGAGTGCTTCATGAGGGTGAATCCGAAAGACGGATTGTTTGGCTGGGAGGGAGGGAATGAAGGAACAAACCTCGGAACGGAAATTGATGGGAAGTTCTTCATTGGTAGGCCTGGATTACCAGCTTGAACAGAAGCGAGCCGTCCGTTTAAAAAAAAATGACCTCCAGGAAACACTGGTTGCTAACTCCTGTTTCCACTAGCTTACAACCTTAGCAAATTTTGAGATTTAAGTGATGGTGTTACTAATTTGCAGGGTGTTTCATACTCTAAAGCTGCCAGAGGAACTTGAATTAAAATATCAAGTTGGAGAACAACTGTAGTGGCTGAACTGTGGTGCATCTGCACAGTGCAATTACAACAATGTTTGAGGTAAATGCATGGATGGAGTTAGGTATCATGATTTTGTATTGAGGGCATGGCGTGCCGAACAACATCAATCTCATCATCCCATACACTAAGTCTAGTGTCGTGATTGTGTTAAGGATTATTCCTCTAGCTAAAACAGTGAACACGCCGGGTTAGCCACATCACTCCAAGCTCAAAGCATGCATGACGCAAGCCTGCACATATTATTCAAGTTGTAGCAAGGCCCTTCTTTCTTCCTCCTCTCCTTCCCCTTCCTCCTCGTCGTCCTCTCTTCCTTTCCCTCTTCTAATGACGCCTACCCTCGACCGCCCTCTTTCTGCTCGCCCATATCCCACCCGTCCACCTGCCACCACCACAGCTCCACTGCACCATCGCCCGTCTCCTTGAATGCCACACCCATGCCATCCTCCCCTGCTGCTGCCACCACTGCCTGCTCTCCCACCGTCCCTGTAACCACTGCCTGCTGCTCCCCCACTATCGCTGCCGCTTCCTTCTCCCCACCAGTGACACCAGAAGAACCAGGCTCCTTTTCCTGTACCTCACCACTGATTCCTGGGTTGGTGTCACTTACCGCTCTCACCCCATCCCCCTCCTTCCACTCCTTGCCCACCCTCTGGCTGTCACCAGTCCCATCAGCAGCAGCAGGGCCATTAGCACCATCACCAACAGGGCCTACCATTACTGCCTTCCCAGCCTCCTGCTCTTGCAATGCTGCCCCGTCCACCACTTCCCTCCCCTCTCCTCCCCCCCCTCCTCCCCCCCCCCTCTTTCCCCTCCTTCCGCTCCTCCTTCCCCTCTTCCTTCTCCGCTTCCTCCCTCACTCCATGCCGCACCTGCCAATATCCACTCGTCCACACCCACACTACCCACCTCTTCCTCCTCCTCTGCCCATTCATCCAACTCACACCACGTGCCATCGCCCCCACGCCCTCCCATTCATCTCCTTCCTCCTCATCCTCCCCCATGGCACCATCTTTACCAGCACGGTCACTCCCCAATGTCTTTCCTGCCTGCACCAACGGCACACCACCACCACCACCACCACCACCAGTGCCGCCAGCACTGTCATTGGCACTCATGAACCCTGTAACGCCTGTGCCCTCCACAGTGGCTTCTATGCCTTCTGCGCTCTGTGTGGCTTCATCTGCTGTGCTGCCTGCACTCACACCCACCTCCTCTTCCCCTGAGGCTCCTGCAAATTCCTCTTCCTCTTTCTCTCCCTCCACTCCCTCTTCAACGTCCTCCCCCTCTCCCTCGCCCTCTCTTCCCCCTTCCATCACCACCAACACTTCACCACTCTCACTCACTTCTGTACTTTCACACTCGTGCTCACTTGCACCTTCCTCCGCGTCTCTTACTCCAGTGTCTCCCACTCCTTCCCCACCAACCACCATTTTGTCTGCCTCTTCTCCTTCACTCTTCCCACCGTGCTCCTCCTCTCCTGTCCCCTCCTCTGACTCACCTAACGCCTCCCCTCCTCTCTCCACTACCTCGCTTCCACTCTCCCCTTCTTCTCTTTCTGTCTCTGTGCCTGTTTCTTCTTTGCTCTCTGCCTCGCCTTCTAGCTTCCCTTCCTCTCTGCATCTTCCATCCTCTCCCTGCTCCTCCTTTGTCTCATGTGCCTCCTCCTTTGTCTCTCCTGCCTCCTCTTTTTCCTCTTTTGCCTCCTCCTTTGTCTCTTGCGCCTCCTCCTTTGTCTCATGTACCTCCTCCTTTGTCTCTTGAGTCTCCTCTTTCGTCTCTTGTGCCTCTTCTTTCATCTCGTGTGCTTCTTCCGTCATCTCGTGCACCTCACTCACTATGTCATCACCCCTTATCATCTCATTTTGTTCCACCATCCCTTCTTCAATCCCCTTCATTTCTCCTTCCACCGTTACCTCTCCATCGCACTCTCCCACCTCTCCCACCTCTCCCACCTCTCTCACCTCTCCCACCTCTCCCTTCTCCCATTCTCCCTCCTTCAACTCCATTTGCCCTATCACGTCTCCTGTGCCCTCTTCCGCCTCTCCTTTCCCCTGCTCCTCTTCTTCACTTTTCTCCACCTCCTCTTCTCGCTGCACCTCTCCATTCCATTTTATCTCCTCATCTCTCTCCACTTCCATTTCTCCCTTTATCTCGTCGTTTCCTTCCTCCGCCTCTCCTGCTTCCGTTACCATGCCTGCACCCTCCTCCACCTCCCCACTCCCCTTCACCTCTCCTTCTCCCTCTTCCACCTCTCCCCTCGCCTGCACCTCTCCCTCTATCCCTCCCTCTCCGTCTCCTTCACTGCTCTCCCTCTCCTCCAACTCACCCTCACGTCTTGGACCCTCGCCCTCATAGCCACTCTCATGCACCCAACCTGCGTCACCCTCTTCCTCCTTCCCTTCTGCCTCACTCTCTTTCACACCTTCACTCTCCTCCACGCTCTCACTCCCATTCCCACTCGCACCCCTGCCATCACTCCCCTCCACAGCTGCTCCCTGCTGTTCTGTCAGAATATCACCACTACCCTCCATCAACATCCCACCACCCTCTGCCACAGCAACTGTCGCTGCATCCTCAATGATATTAACCAGTCCATGCGTTGCCAATTTCTCTCCTCCCTTACTCCCCATTTCATCCCCGAATGCACCTTCTATCCCTTCCCCCACGGCCTCCCCCACCCTCTCGACCTGCTCCACTCCCACTTCCTCCTCCTCTGTCCCTCCAGTCTGCCCCCCTGCCCATTCCTCGTTCAACACACCATGTTCTTCTGTGCATGCCGTAACATCCCCGCTTGCCTCTGCTGTTTCACTATCCCCTCCTTCTTGCACTGTCGCCTCCACCTCCTCCGCTCTTGCTGCTTCTACAGATGTCCCTTCCCCCTCCTTTTCTTCTTCCTCTTTCACTACCAGTCCCACTTCCTTTCCTTCGTCCTCTTCTTCTTTCTCTCCCTCCTCCTCTCCCTCCTCCTCGTCGTCCTTCACTTCTGCCTTCTCTTCCTCTCTCTCGTCCTCCTCCCCACCTATCCATGTCTCCTCACCGCCCCTCCGCACGTCCTCTCCATCCGTCACTCCCTCGTTTCCCTCACTCGCGCCCCACACACCACCGCTCACTGCCACCCCTGCCAGCATTGCCGCCCCTGCCACCCCAGCCAGTGCTGCAACCCCTTCTTTTCCTTCTATGGCTGCTGCTTCATCTCTTCCTTCTCTCCCTCCCACTACTCCTGCCCCTCCATTTGCAGCAGTTGCACCAGCCACTCCCATTCTACCTTCTTTTCCTCTTCCTCCTCTTCCTCCTGCTCCTCCTGCTCCTCCTCCTCCTCCTCCTCCTCCTCCTCCTCCTCCTCCTCCTCCTCCTCCTCCTCCTCCTCCTCCTCCTCCTCCTCCTCCTCCTCCTGCTCCTCTCCATATTTCACTTGCCATTCCTGCTGGACCAACAAAAGTTTCCCCACTACGGCCCTCCTCACCACCATCCCACACGGGAATCAGCACAGGATCCGTTACACCCACAGGACCAGACCCAGAAGCATAACCCGGGGCATCATTATAACGAGGATAGTCCACCCATGGTTCTTCTTCCTCTAGTTGTTGCTGCTGCTGCTGCTCTCGTTGCCATGCAGCTTGGTGCGTGTCATAGTAATAGGCGTCTTGAAACCCTGCTTCGCCTGCTGCTGCCGCTGCCGCTGCTGCTGCTGCCGCTGCTGCTGCTGCTCCTGCATCTTCTCCTTCTCCTTCGTCTTCTGATGGCAGAACCACTGTATCGTTCACTGTTATGCGCCGACCATAGACTGCTGCTGCTGATGATGATACTGATGATGACGAGGAAGAGGAAGCGGAGGATGGCGCTGACGTGGACGATGATGCTGACGTGGATGGCCATGCGGGCAGGGAAGCTGCCAGTGGATCCGAGGAGGTGAGGTGGAGCGATAGCAGCTCTGCTTGCTGCGCTTGGGGCGACAGTGTGTTGAGCGAGAAATGCTCGTGTGGGGATGCATGTGGGTTTGCATGTGGGGATGCATCCTGAGAATCTTCATACAACCCAGATGATGAATGAGGAGCAGCAGCAGCAGCTGTAGGCGTGTAAGATGCAGGAATTACCGCTGGTGAGGGTGAGGGCGTGGGTGCGCCAGGATAGAGGGACGGAGCAGAGGGGGGAGGATTAGCAGGAGGAAATGGAGGGTATGATTCTTGCTGTTGCTGCTGCTGGTGGTTCTTGTGTACGGTGGAAGAAGGGGAGGAGGAGGAGGAGGCGAGGGGCATGATGAATCGACGCACGGTGACAGCAGCAGCAACAGCAGCGGCAAGCAGGAAGGGAGCAGAGAGCATCACCATGCCTCTGCTGCCCATGGTAGATAGAGCCGTGCCCACACGAGGGAGACCCAGAGGCAACTGCTGAGTATGCTGCTGCTGCTGCTGCTGCTGCTGTTGGTGGCGCCGCTGGTGCTGTTGGTGCTGACGCTGCTGTGCTTGTTGCTGCGGTTTTTGCTGCTGCTGCTGATGCTGATGCTGCTGCGGTCTTTGTTGTTGTGGTTTAGGTGCTGGTGGTTAAGGGAATAGGAAAGGGCCGGCAGGGCAACAGCAAACGGGCAGAATGATTCAAGCGACGAGAGAGCAGTACACATGACTAGGCAAGAGGGAACGACAAGCAGCAATCATGGCATGGCAGCAGTAAGGTATTAGAATGCTTAAAACGCAGCAGTGCTGGTGGAAGAAGTGCCTTCATGCCAAACAAGCCAGTGGCCACACAGAAGTGCTCTGCCCCCCTCTGCTCTTCATCTCCTTCCTCTCCTCTCATTTCCTCTCCTCTCCCCTCTTCTTCTCACAGCCACCTCTCCCTTCATCCCTCCCTCCTCGCATCTCATCCCAGCCCCCTCACCTGCTGCAGTTCTCCTCTCCTGCCGATGCTTTGCGGCCTTCACTGCCGCCTGCACGCATGGGAGCACACAGCAAGTGCGGGGATGAGGGAAAGGGATGACGATCATCATCGCTTCTGGTATTGAGGTTGCAAGACTTTGCAGCCTTCGCTGCCGCCTGCACACATGGGAGCACACACAGGAGGTGCTGGAGAGCAGGGAGTGGCGACTTCTACAGGCAAAAGCAACCAGCAAAGAGAAGAAGAACAACAAAAAAAAGGCAGGCAAAGAAGGAAGGGAGGTGACGTTGGGGTTGAGTTTTGAGTCGACTCAAAACTCGACTCATTACACGCGGGAGGTGACGTTGGGGTTGCAAAGGGGAGCGAAGGGCAGCAGGATGAAACGGTGGAAGGAATCGAGCCAAAGGACGAGGGGAGGGGAGGGCGGTTCCAGAGTTGAACGGGGTTGTATGACGATCGAAACGAGGAGCTTTTTGAGTGCAACGGGACCAATCAGGTTCAACAGGCACTGCGGGAGCAGAACCCACTAGTCACGTGCATGCATGCAAGCAAGCACACGGTTACATGCACGGGATTTCATAGCCTACGGGCCTTTTTCCCCCACAACCTCCGCTCACACCTCTAGCCCCCCCCCCGCCCTTCCCCCCAGCGCACCCTCCGCCCATGTCCCCCTACACACCTGCTGCTGGTCGCGCACTTTACGGCACATGGTGGAGCGCGTGGGCTCGTCCCACTTGCCGCTCACTGGCAGCCCGTGCTGCTCCTGAAACCGCTCGATGCTCGCCCGCGTTATCGGCCCAAAGAATCTGCGGGGGAGGCGGGAAGGAGTGGGCGAGGAGGGGGGAAGGGGGAGGGGGCGAGGGGGAGGCGCCTCAAGCATCGCACGCAGGCAGCCCGTGCTGCTCGTGAAACTGCTCTATGCTCGCCCGCGTTATCGGCCCGAAAGAACCTGGGCGGAAGTGGGGGAGAGGAGAAGGATAAGCGGGGTTTAGGGTCCAGGAGGGGGAGGGGCGCGTAGCGGTGCGGGGGGTGAGGGGCGAGGGCGGAGAGGAGGATCGGAGGCGCGTCAGTATTATTGCAGCCCGTGCTGCTCCTCGCTCAAACTCCTCGGCAACCAATCATACAGCGCGGAAGGGCAATGACTGACGGAGACATGGAACGAATGCTGTGGTCCAACAGAAATGGTCGTTGTGGCATGACACGAATGAGCTGGCGCACGCACGTACGTACGTGCAAGCAACTGCACGCAAGCAAGCAAGCAAGCAGGCAGGCAAGCAGGCAAGCAAGCACGGCCCTTCTTTGAGACGAGGTCAAGATTGCAAGCAAGCGAACAGGGCAAGCACGCCTCACCCGGTCACCAAGGAAGCATCCGGGAAGAAGCCGAAGTGGAGCAGAGCGCTCTGTGCACCAGGAGAGAGAGAGGGCGGGCACAGGGGAAGGGGGGAAGCGGCGGAGAAGGGAGGGCATGGGGCGAGGGAGAAAGAGTGGGACGGGAAGGGAGCGAAGGGGGTGAGCGTGTATGGGTGCGGTCTGAGGTTTGAGACTGTTCAAAGCTCAAAGACTCTGGTTCATTCTGCTTTCCACATCCGCACTTCATTGCGCCCTCCCTGGCATGGCTGGCGTGGAAAGGGACGGACACCACCAGGCATCACATCCCCTTCCTTTTTCCACACACAGCACACCCTCATACACGCGCGCGCACACACATACACGCACACACACGCACACACGCACACACACACACACACACACCCACACACACACACACACACACACACAGCGCGCGTCCGCGCGAGCGCACACACACACGCCCTTCCCACACACTCACACGCCGTTCCCCCGCACCTGCACGTCAGCGACTTCAGGCCCACTGTCGCCCGCCCGGGCTCAGGTCATGCAGCAGACACAGATCCACCCGCACACACAAACACACACAAACACACACACCCACCCATCCACACACAAACACACACTCACACGCCCTACCCCCCGCCCACCTGCACGTCAGCAACTTCAGGCCCACTGTCGCCCAGGCTCAGGTCATGCAGCAGACACAGATCCGACAGTAGCCGCACCGCCCGCCCCTTCCCCCGGCCCCGCCCATCAATCTCTCCGCCGCTCTCCCCTCCGCCTGCCCGCGCACCACCGCTTCCTGCGCGCCTCCCAACCTCCCCTCCGCCCCTCGCGGCTTCACCTGCGCCCCTTGGTGCCCCCGCGTTCCCTCTAGACCCCGCGTTCCCCCCTCGTAGAACTTCCCCTGCTCTTCCCGCTCCGCTTGCGCTCCCGCGCGGAATACTGGCCTCTCTTCCGATACTACTTCCTCCGCTTGAAATGTCACCCCTTCCGCCTATCAGCGCTCCTTGAGAGCGCGCGCTGCCAGCTACAGTGTTCCGCTGCGCCGTCGCCGATTCCGCCGCCGACACGTCGTCTCTCCGCGCCACGGGCGCTAGAAGACTGCGAGACAGACGGGAAACGCGGCGCGATGCACGGAGTGGCGACGAGAGCGAGTACGCGGAAGACGAGCGCAGAGACGATGAGGGGAAAGGAGCAAGATTTGGCAGCCTTTGGTTCGGGAGGATAAAAGCGCTCCAGTCGTACGCAAAGGCGGCGCGGCTTCCGGCGTGGGCATTCGGATAAGAATGGAGTTCCGCGGCGGTGTGTGCGGGGCTTGCGAGGAGGTGGGAGGAGCCCGCGACATGCGACACGGTGTGTTGCATGGGACCTCGGGAGTGCGCTGCGAGCATGGGAGCCATAGCGACTGATTATTACAAACAGAGCAGTCGTGCCGTCCGTGAATCCAGATGTTCGTTTCGGACTCCTTAAGGCTGTCACGCGGAATCAGCGGCGATCCTGCTGGGACCGTACCCCACGTGTCGACCGCTGCTAGTCATAAAACAACATGCTCGAGGGACGCCAGGCCAATCAACAAGGTTGGACGCAACGAGGGAGCAAGCAAAGAAACGAAAGCAACGGGAACCAGCTGTTCACGAATCACGAGTTTCGTTGCATTCCGGCGGGCTCGGGAATGGATGAGGCGAGGCGAACCAGCGGGGAGAAGCATTCGGCCCGAAAACGGGGCAAGAGGGAAAACGGATGGAGAGGAGAGTGAAGGGGGAGGAGGGGTGAGGTGAGGGGAGGAGTGAGGGGAGGGGAGTGTTGGCGGACATTGGATTGAGTTGGTTTGGGGGGAAGGAAGGGGAGCGGCTCGGAGGGGGGAAGCAAGGTTTGATGGATGCGACTCGGCATGCGCTTGAGAGATGGGATTGGCGGTTGCTTGTTGTGGCGGGAAAAAGACAGATTCCCGCGTAACGTGATGCTGACACATTCGCGAGCATTCGTTACAGAAAACACTGCTCATTCTAGGAATTGTACAAGCAAGAACTTCACGTGATCCCTAAATTGTACAAGTACGTTCAGAATCTAATCTACGAGGTGCAAGCAAGCACCGCCCTTTTTGCAAGCCACACACTTGGCCTGAAAGGAATTTCAAATTGATGCTCTCTCTAGCGGCGCGCTCTGCGCCTAAGGAATTCTGGGATGTTAGGGGCTGCAGTGCGAGGGGGAGGAGGTGGCGGTGGCTGGGTCCTGGGTTGCGACTGTACAGGGGATGCTTTGTTCCCCACCACACGAGATGCCTGAGGAACCTGGGCCAGTGAAACATTCGCAAAGCGGCACCACAAGTGGAGAAACAATGTGATAAGGGGGAATCAAGTAACAAGTACGTGCAGACGAGGTTTCACTGGCCAGTGTACCCATCCCAAGTTCTAATTAGCTACAAACATGCAGAATTCAGGTTACACGCATGAGGAGGAAATGTGGTATGCCGATGCCCTGGGGACATATTCAGCAAGCAGGCAGAGGCAATATTACATATCATGTAATGAGCTCACCTGAGCGCCCTGATCCCGCAGGCCCGTGGCAATGAGAGTGATGCTCAGCTGCAGAGGTGAGAACGTGGGGCACACAGAAAGGTGGAGTGCAGGCATGTAAGGAGCAGGCAGGGAATATGGAAGCTAGGAGCAGAGCATGGGAGGCGCTGTGCTGTTGTTCCATGTCCAATGATGTGCAGCACAAACGGCAAGACGAAGGATAGCTCGGCACGGTGTGTCAAAACTTCTAACAGCATGGCATCGCATCACAGTGTATGGCAGGGCAGGGCATGGCAGGCTATTGTAGGCCAGGGCAGGACATGGCAGGGCGTGCATGGCATGGCATGGCAAGGCACACGGCAAGGCATGGCATGGCAAGGCATATCATAGCACGGCATGGTATGGCATGGTATGGCATGGCATGTCTCACATCAGCTCCAAGCGAGTCATCAACAACAGCCCCGAAGATGAGGTTGGCATCTGGATGCACAAGGCGATGAATCTCCTCCGCTGCCTCATTCACCTGCCACCCATGTGCCATTGCACACACACGCACACAGGTACCGTACCATACCACACACGCATGGACAAAGACACGTGCACTCACACAATCAGCACACACATGGACAACAGAACAAAGGCAAGAAACAGATTATCCACCTCAACATCAGTAACAGCATGGAAACCACATTCCAATAACCATCAACAACCAGTAAAGAGCACAACCACCCTATCCCACCAATCCCCCACCGCATCTCCTGGCTCCCTCGGCCCACCCACCTCGAGCAGAGTCATGTCAGAGGGCCCTGTGATGTTCCACACGATGCCCGTCGCCTGGTCAATGCCCACGTCCAGTTTTGAGGTGTCTCCAAACTCGAGAGCACAACCAACCCCCGAACCCGCTAATCCCCCCACCGCACATCCCACTGCTCCCTTTCCACCCACCTCGAGCAGAGTCATGTCGGAAGGCCCTGTGATGTTCCACACGATGCCTGTTGCCTGGTCTATGCCCACGTCCAGCAGCGGTGACTGGATGGCCGCCTGCGCTGCTTGCTTTGCCCTGCCCTTGCCTGATACATGCAGATCGCGAGCGAGGAACATGAGAACACGCAGTGTGGTTGAGTAAGGGCTCGTGGGGTGACTTTTGAGTCGACTCAAAAGTTGCCCGGCCCTTGCCTGATAGATGCAGATCACGAGCGAGGAACATGAGAACGGGCAGTGGGGTTGAGTAAGGGCTCGTGGAACAGAGGAATGGGATCAGGATGGAGGGAGGATACAGGGGGAAGGTAGGGTAGGAAGGGGAGGAAGGACGGCGAGAGCGCTGTTTTGTAGCCTTTTCAATAATGGAGAAGGGCGGAGTGGGGAAGGCATGGCAAGGAGCTGTTTAAGCTGAAGCTAACACACTGCTAGCGATACTGGGAGGAGGGAAGAGGCTTTGATAGCTTGCGGTGCTGTCCCGTGCTGTGCTGTGCTGTAAGCAAGCAAGCAAGCAAGCAAGGGTATCGGTACACAAGCATGCTGACCTGGTAGAGCAAGGTGACCTGGTAGAGCAAGGTGACCTGGTAGAGCAAGATGACCTGGTAGAGCAAGGTGACCTGGTAGAGCAAGGTGACCTGGTAGAGCAAGCTGACCAAGAATCCCACTTTCACCTCTTGTCACCACACCCCATTCAAGACCACCTGATAGTCAAATGCCAACTGCGGGGACACCAATGCCTGCTTTAAGCCCATGACCCACCAGAGGCGGCCCCGATGCCCAGAACCCACCTGATGCAATCCCGATGCCCATGAGCGAGGAACCCGCGTTGGCCATGACCGCCCTCACATCCGCGAAGTCCACATTCACCAGCCCCGGCACCTGACATGGGGAAGGAGAGAGGAGGGGAAACAGCGGAGAGGAGGAAGGAGAGAGACACACACCAGAAGGGTGGGTTTGGAATTTAATTCCACATCACCAGCCCCGGCACCTGACAAGCGGGGGGGAGAGGGGGAAGGGGAGGAGAAGGAGAGGAGGAGTGGGGAAGAGGAACGGCAATACATGCATGAAAGCATATCTCACTGGCACAACGGAAGGAGGGAAGGGAGGAGTGGAGGGCGAGGGGGTGTTAGACTGACACACGCACACTGACAGGCAAATGGGCACAGGAACAAGGCACACACACAAGCGCACACACCAGCACAGGCAGAGAGACAGAGGATGCCACACACGACGGTGCTCACCTGGATGATATCAGAAATGCCTCGCACGCCCTGCCTCAGCACATCATCAGCAAGCGTGAACGCCTCATTAATGGGCGTGCTCTGCCCCACGGCCGCCAGCAGCTTATCATTCGGGATCACAATCAGCGCGTCCACATGCTGCCGCAGCGCCGACACCGCGTCCCTCGCCTGCAGCTTCCGCCGCTGCCCCTCAAACGAAAACGGCTGCGTCACTATCCCCACCGTCAGAATCCCCATGCTCCGCGCCACCTCCGCCACCACCGGCGCCGCCCCGCTCCCAGTCCCTCCGCCCATCCCGGCCGTCACAAACACCATATCCGCGCCTGCTACCGCTGCTTGGACGACATCCCTGCTCTCCTCTGCGGCGCTCTCGCCTATTCTGGGGTTGCCGCCGGCGCCGAGGCCGCGGGTGAGAGCGCCGCCGATCTGAATGCAGTGGGAGTCGTCTACGGGGGAGAGAGCCATGGCCTGCCGGTCCGTGTTGAGCACCCAGAACTCCACGCCCTGCATGCCGCTCTGTGGTGGGAAGGTGGGAGGAGGGGGAGGGGGAGGGGTGGAGGGAGGGGGGGAAGAGAGAAAGGGGTGGTGTTGAGCTGCCGGTTTGTGTTGAGTTGAGCACCCAGAACTCCACGCCCTGCATGCCGCTCTGTGGTGTGCAGGTGGGGTTTAGGAAAGGAAGTGGGGGAGGGTTGCAGAGGGGATAGGTTTGAGGAAGGCGAGAAGGAGAGAGCGCCATGGCCTGCTGGAGGAGGGTTGGCGTCGGGAGAGGGCGGACGTGGAGGGAGGAGGGGAAGAGAGGAAAATGTTTTTCTGCCTACAAAATGCAGAATACGCGCATTAACCCCCATGCCCTCCCTTACCCCTCCACATCATCACCTTTACCCAGAATCCCAACTCCCTCCTGAAACCCCCTGTCCCAACCCGCCTTGAAAACCCCCAACTCGCCAGCCCCGTTTCCTTCCCTCTCTCCTCGTCTACCCCCTGCACTCACCAGCACCATGCGGTTCACCGCATTAGACCCCCCTCCACCGACGCCAATCACTTTGATCCTCGCCCCATCCACCCCCACTGCTGGCGCAGTCACCCCCCTCCCCTCCTCCGCCCACCCATATCCCCCCCTGCGCGCAGCACCCATGCTGCCACTGGTGCGCTCAGGAGCTTGAGTGGAGGGCGGAGGATAGGCGGGGGAGGAGGTGGGTGCGGGGTAGGGATGGGGGGGAGCAGTGGGGGCGGAGGAGGGGGATGGGGGGGGAGGGCGGATGGGCATGGGAGTAGGAGCAGGAGAATAGGCAGAAGGGTAGGAGGCAGGGGGAGGGGAGGTGGTGCGGGAGTAGGTGGGTGAAGGTGATGGTTGCCTGGGCACACGGGGCGGTGCTGGTGGTGCTGGTGATGCTGATGCTGGTGAAGGCGACCGGAGCACATACTGCAGTGAGGGGAGGCGAGGGGAGGTGAGGGGAGGTGAGGGGAGAAGAGAGGCATTAAGGGGCGTTTCAGGGACGTTGAGGGACTTGGAGGGTGGTGGTGGGATGGCAGTGGACTAGACACATGGCGAGCATGGGTGGAAAGGAGTTGGGATGTGATGGAAAGTGGTGAACGAAGCAGCATCAGGACTCGTGTGGGAGCGATGAGAGGTGTGCGTGCTTCGTGGGTGTGAGGAGCAGGAACAAGAAATGGTGGCGATGGCATGGAGGGGGAAAGGGGGAAGGACAGTGATCAGTGTACTGATGCTTGAAATGGTTGGCTGAATGGGGGAGGTGAGCGTAGGGCGACTGGAAGAGAATGTGAGGGCACGAATGTGAGTGTGCACATGTACATGTGGTTTGTGCTTGAAACGGGATATGACGAGGGAGGGCTTACCGAAGGGGAGTGCAGGCCCGTGGCAATGAGAGTGATGCTGACCTGCACGATTCAAGAGGAGCAGTGGGGGTTTGGGGTAGAGAAGAGAGAGAGGGAGAGAATAAGGCGAGGGAGGACCGAGGAGGGAGGTGAGGGGGTGTGTGTGACGGATGCACAATTTGAGGAATGGATTGAAAAAGCAGACTCGGGAGGGATCAATAATGAATGAGATGGGAGAAAGAGACGGGCACGTTCGGGGAGGGGTATGGGACGGAAAGGAATGGGGAATTCAATTTGGGATGATCGTATAGAAGCAACGGGTGCGGAGGCAGAGAACCTCCCCAAAAGAGACTGGACTGGCCCACCCCAGTGCATCCTCTTCAATCGATCCCTGTTTCCTCTCCCCTCCCTCGAATGGTCCCTCTCTCTCTCTGTCCCCCACCATCACTCCTCCCTTCAACTCGCGTCCAAACCGCTCTCTTCCTCATGCCAACATGCCAGCCAGCCAGCCTCTGAGCTTCCTCACGGCCACGCACCCCCCAAAACACTGGGCGTCCCATGGCCCCAGAGTAGTACCTCGTCAGCGAGAGAGGGGTCAACAACAGCGCCAAAGATGAGGTTGGCGCGCGGGTCCACCAGCTGGTAGATCTGCTCTGCTGCCTCGTTCACCTGCCGCACGGGGGAGTGCGTGGGAAGGGGTGGGGGCGTGGGCGAGAGGACGGGTGGGTGTGTGGAAGGGTGGGTGGAAGCCCGTACTGATGCGCGCAGGTCCAGCTGATAGATCTGCTCCGCTGCCTCGTTCACCTGCCTCACGGGTGCGGGAGGGTGGGTGCGGGGGTGGGGTTGTGGCCGAGTGGTCGGGAGGAATGGTGGGAGGGGGGGTGAGAGATAGAAGGGTGGATGGATGAAAGGACGGGTGGATGGAAGGGTGGAAGGATACGAGAAGATTTGCACGCAGTGGGCTCGGGCGTGCGATTGAGGGAAGGGGGAAGTGATCACGCATGGTCAGACCAACTTGCCTCCGAGTTTCATGCGCTCCGCATGACACTAGCCTGCATGGCTATCTGGACACGGGACATGCGGCGTGCATGGGCTAGCCAGCGGGGACAAAGTGCATCAAACCCCCGTCTCAGCATCCCCCCAGTGACCCACGGCTGTCTCAGAATCCATCCCAATGACCCACATTCGCCCAGCCTCCCTTCTTGCTCACCTCACTCAGCGTCATGCTGGGCGGGCCCGTGATGTTCCACACGATGCCTGTGGCGTTGCCTTTGGAGACGTCTCAACAGCAATCCCAGTGACCCACACCCATGCCGCCTCCTCCTTACCCTCTCTCTCACCTCGCTGAGCGTCATGCTGGGCGGGCCCGTGATGTTCCACACGATGCCCGTGGCGTTGCCTATGCCCGTGTCCAGCAGTGGCGATTGTATCGCCTGCTGTGCCGCCTCCCGAGCCCGGTGCTTGCCTGCTCCCACACGCACCCGGGGGCGGAGAGGGGGGGAGGGAAGGACGGGTGACGTGGGAGAGAGAAGAGTTGGAAGACGTTATTGGGGGGGAGGGGGGCATGGGGAGGGGACGGGCGGGTAAGGGAGAGGAGAGGAGGGGATGGGACGGGAGGTTTTGGATAGGAGGGGAGATGGGAGGAGTGCAAGATGAGTAGGAGTTTGTGAGCAGCCGATGCAAGACCGAGAGTAATTCATCATTCCAGTCATTGTGAACAAATTTCCCCCAAACATGTATAGTTACGTGCCTCGTGTGCTTCGTTCCACACCCTAATTCCTGCATTCCCAGCCTCAGCATTCCGGTCCTCACAGCCTACCCGTTAGCCCATGGCTCACCTGATGCAACCCCGATGCCCATGAGCGAGGAGCCCGCGTTGGCCATGACCGCCCTCACATCCGCAAAGTCCACATTCACCAGCCCCGGCACCTGACAGGCGGGGGGGAGGAGTGGTGTGGGGCAGGATGGGAGGGACGGGAGAGGCACACACAAGACGGTGGGTTTGGAATTTTGCTTCAACATTCACCAGCCCCGGCACCTATGGGGAAGAACAAGGAGGATTCATGCGCAATTAAATCATGCCCCACTATCACAGCCCCGACACTTGGAAGAGCGAGAGAAGGAAGCAGAGGAAAGAGAGGGGGGGTGTTGAGCGAGTGACAAGGAGTGGTGAGGCTGTCACAGATGGATATGGGACAATAGGGCACAGGCAGCAGCGCCAGCATAGCATTGGCAGCATAGGTGGGGACAGGTAAGAGAGGGTGGAATTAGGGGGGGATAAGGAAAGCGTTTGGGGGAGTAAGGGAAAGGGCTTGGGGGAGAGAGGAGAGGGGAAACGGAGTGGGAGCGTGGGAAAACGGGTGGCTTTTCTTATATACATTACATGAGTGCGAATCCTTCGCTCGTGACTGCTCATCCCCTCCTCCTCCATCTCCTCCACCCCTTTCAAACCCCTCCCCACCCTGCTGTCCCTTCACAAACCTCCCTCCCTCCTCCCAGCAATGCCCCAATCATGCGACACCCTCCACTCGCGCCCAACCAACCCGCCGCACCCCACCAAACCCCGCTGTAACCCGACCGTAAACCCACCCCACCCCACCGCACCCTACCCCACAGAACGGCGCGGACCTGCACGATGTCGGGGATGCCACGCACGCCCTGGCGCAGGCAGCACGTCGTCCGCCATGACGAAGGCGTCGTTCACTCACGGGCGTGCTGGCGTCCACGGCGCTCAGCAATGCCCCGTCTCTACGACACACCCTACCCGAGTTCAACCACCCCGCCACGCCCCACCGCATCCCACCGCACCCCACGGCATCCCACTGCAACCGCACTCCACCGCACCCCACCCCACGGAACCGACCTGCACGATGTCGGAGATGCCTCTGACGCCCTGCCTCAGCACGTCGTCCGCCATGACGAACGCCTCATTGACGGGCGTGCTGGCGTCCACGGCGCTCAGCAGCTTGTCGTTCGGGATCACGATCAGCGTGTCCACCGCGCCGCGCAGCTCCTCCAGCGCGCGCACCGCCTGCGCCGCGCGCCGCTGCCCCTCGAACGAGAACGGCAGAGTCACGATGCCCACGGTGAGGATCCCGAGGCTCCGCGCGACCTCCGCCACCACCGGCGCTGCGCCGCTGCCCGTTCCGCCGCCCATCCCCGCCTGCGGGACGGCGGGGGTCGGAGAGAGGGAAATGGGAAGGGGATGGCGGGAAGGGAAAGAGGGCGGTGGAGGATTGAATGGTTGCCCGGCGGAGGATGGAGTTGGAGAGGGCGGAAAGCGATGGCTCAATCGCGAGGCGGGGATGAGAGGGAGGTAGATGCAGTGAGAATGAAGGGGACATAGAAAGAGGGGGTGGGGGGAGGGGAGGATGGTTGGGATGGGAAATACCGAGCTCATGTGAAAGTCGCTATGAAAGTTTTCATGCTCGCCGTTTCTTGGTGCAGAAGGGCAGTAATACACATGCGTTCCTTGTTATGATTATACTGACTGTTACTTTCCTGACAACAACTACTCCTCCTAGTTTTCCTTCAGTGCACGCACTGTTCCTGCTCGTCGTTTGTTTTGCTTAGTTTATTCCTCGTTGTGCCTGCCCACTCTTTTCAACTCCAGCAGCGAGTAATCCCCCTTAAGAAATTCACAAGTACACGTCACTCCACCACTCCCGGTGTCTCCCACCGCCATGCCAACACAACCCGCAGCCCGCAGAAGTCAACCCCTCCAAAAAAGAAAAAGAAAAAGAAAAAGAAAAAACATCATCATCCCGTCCTCTCGTCGTTTCATCGTCTTGCTGTTCCGTTAATATCTGCTCGTTTGCTCCTCCTCACGATTACACGCCACTCCACCACTCCTATAATTTCCCACTTCCACGCCAAAACAATCGCAACCAAAGCTCTCTGTATTAATGGAAACAAACAGTATTGGTGTCTATCATCCCGTCTCCCGTCTCTCCATCGCATCCCGCTCACCGTCACAAACACCATATCCGCGCCAGCGAGCGCGGCCTGCAGCATCAGCCGGCTCTCCTCCGCCGCGTGCTGCCCGATCATCGGGTTACCGCCCGCGCCCAGCCCGCGCGTCAACTCCACTCCGATCTGCAGCCGGTTTCCCCGCCCCACCGGCGACAGCTCTAGCGCCTGGCCGTCAGTGTTGACGACGAACGGCTCGACACCGCGCATTCCCATCTGAGCTCCGCGGAAATTCGGGGAGGGGAATGGTAGGGGGATTCTTAAGACAATCAAACACGGAAAACTAGACGCAAGAAGAAGCAGATGAGGTTTGAGGGCCGGGTTGGCGGATTCGCTTGTAGGTTGCTTGCTCCTGTGTACGCCCTTGTTACTGAGCACCCTAGTTGTTGAGCAGCCATTCTTACCTGAATCATTCTGTTCACCGCGTTCGACCCGCCACCGCCGACGCCAATCACTTTTATCGACGCGCCTGTGAAGCTATCCGCCATATTAACCACCGCGCCTCCCGTTTGCGTGTTCCATTCCGAGTGGCTGCTCACAACAGCGGCGCCGCCATTGTCGACAGTATCTACATATTCTTGCGCTCCGCCAGTGGGCCGTGGCGGCCGGCCGTTCATCCGCGCCGAATCTTCATAGGAAGGCGCGAGAGACGCGCACACTGGCGCTCGCGAAGAGACACCTACGGGAAGAACTTCGGAAACGCCTGCGGACTTTTTCCTGGTTAGCAGAGGCCTTTTGCCAAGCGAGCGCTCGGGAAAGTTAGGGATTCGAGGTCGCGCGAGTCCGCGGGCTGCGGAGAGACGGTCAGTTTGAGCGCACAGCGGCTGCTGGGGGATTGACGCGGCGACAGCTTCTACTGACGCGAACGGCGTGCGATGCTCAGCCTGCGATGAGATAAGGAATGCTTGGGTTTGTGAGCTCGCGACTGTGGGCGCTAGAGACGCCATGGTACCCTCTTGGGAGCGAACGTTGTAGATCGATACACTATGCTGGTAATGTGCTTCACGGGATTACCTACATGCGGTGAGTGAACACGAACACAGCGACTAATGAGGTGGGGTGCAAATTCAGTCAGAAGAGCTTGAGGGTTGCTTTTCAGCCAGCAGCTGGGTTAGGGCAATCCAGCATCCAGCCCAGAGCAAGTTTCCCCAACGATGTTGTCGCGCTTCGCTGCACCCAACCACCTTTCCTACTGACTGACGGCGAAAGGTGTACAGTACAGTATTTGAGCGCGAGCGATCTTGGCCGTGCCAGCTGTGTGGTGAGTTTGTGATTGTACGGGATTTGAAAGAGAACTTTTGGCGGGAAGCCAGGGTCAGAGCAAGGTTGAGTCGCTCAGTGGATGAATTAGGCGGGATAATGTGGGACCAGCCACATGGCTAGATATCCTCTGATTGGACGCTACTGGTGGTTCAGAGTCAGCGCTGATTACGGGAAGATTCCACCATCACGGGTACACTGTTCTGTTGATGGACTAAGCAGGAAATAGTGTTGAAATTCTTTATCCAATAATATCAGCATACACAATAATTTATTCCGTAACCCATAACATAGTCCTCCTCCCCATTCCTTCATTATTCCCCACCATTTCCAAACAAACTCTTCCTCCTTCCAACACACAACAGCTCCTTATCCATTCCCACAACCTTCCTCCAATTTTTTTCTTCTTGCCTCCATTCATCGTCTCTCGTATCACTTGGTGCACTTCTGCTTATCGGCAGACACCTTCCACCCATTGGCGCAGAGGCATCCGGGATCAATGGTACTCCCGCTGGTCTCCACAACCTTATCCGATGGGTAGCAGATGCCAATGCGGATGCCACCGCACTGCATGTTCCCGGAAGTGCCGCAGAACTTGTTGCACGCAGCGGCAGTCCTCTGAGATGACTTAGTAGAGCAGCAATCGTCAGACAGGGAATTGTCCCCTGAGGAAGAAATGGTGAGGCAGTTCTTGGCGAGAGATGCCGCGCAAATGATGTTCCCGTCCTTGTCCTTGGGCAGGGAAGAACCAAAGAAGTAGTTGTCGTCGAGGTTGAGAGTGGAGGGGGCCTTGTAGAAGCTGGGAGGAGGCCCGGTGAAATAGTTGGCACTCAGGTCCCTGTGGTGTGGAGGTGGGAGCAGGAGTAGGTGCAACGCATCAGAAATGAATCAGAGGTGGGTCAGAAGACGGGACGTTTGGAGCGAAATTAGTGAGGGAAGAAGCAGAGGCGGGTCGGGTGAAGGTGTGAGAGTCAGACAAATCAGTGCGGAGGCGAGGCAGGAAGGGAAGGGTTGAGCGAATGAGTCAAGGACGGAGAGGCGTACGTACACTTCGGTGAGCGACTTGAGGGATGAGAAGGAGGGCACGTAGCCATCAAAGTAGTTGTCCTGCAGAAGGCTATTGGGATGGAACATGAGCATGTGGGAATGAGGAGAGGAGGTAATGTGTGTGTGTGTGTGCGCATGTGAGCGAAGGAGGAGTGAGGATTGAGGTGGAGCGTGAGGGAGGCAGGAAATGGGGGCAGGGAGAAGAGGAAGGAAAGAGGATGCAGGTGAGGGCACTGAGTAAAAAGGACAGAAACGGGGCAAGTGAGGAGGGAAGGCACAGGCAGGGAGGGAACGAATGGCCAAGCAGATACGATTCAGCAACAGACAAGAAAAGGGAGTTGGAAGGCCGTGAGGAGAAGCAAGGGAAGCAGGCAGGGAGGGGAGCGTACAGGTTGCTGAGCTTGGTGAGAGATGTGATGGTGCGTGGGATGATGCCCTTGAACATGTTGTTGCTCAGCGACCTGGGGGGTTGGGGGGGTTGGTGAAGAGGGGGGAGGGGGGGAGGTGGGATTGCACGCAGAGCTGAGACAGGGGAGAGGGATTGGGGGCCGGGATGTAGTGACAGGCGCACAGGGAGAGAGAGGGAAACAGCACGGATAGGATAGTGTGGGAAATCACACTCACAGAGCGGGAATGGGAAGGGGAGAAGTGGAAGGTGGGCGTGGGTGGGTGGCAGTGGAGGGTGCAGCGTACAGGTATGTGAGCTTGGTGAGAGTGCTGATGACGTTGGGAATGCGCCCCTCAAAGTAGTTGTTGCGCATGCTCCTGATCAGCATGGCACGTGGGCAGGTAGGACACGTGGGCAGTTAGGACACGTGGGCAGTTAGGACACGTGGAGGAGGCGCATGTGAAAGAAGCACACAGTTGGGATGCTTGTAGTGGCAACGAAGGGGAAAAGGAGGCAGCAGGTGAAGAGATGGTGACACATACATTCGGATAGCTGGCAGAGAAGGACAAATAAGGCTCACAGGTAGTTGAGGCTCTTGAGATTGGAGAAGCCCTGAGGGAATGAGCCATTGAAGTTGTTGTCTCCCAGCAACCTGGTGGCACCACGGCACGGCGGCATGGAATCAGTCAGGAGGGCGTGCAGGCAGGGAAGTGGTTGGTGGAGATGCTGTGGGAACTCAATGAGTGAGAGAAATATTTGGATTTGGAGTGGCACAGAGAGAAAAGATGAGATGAAGCGAAATGAATTTCAATAGCAGCGGCGGCGGCGGCGGCGGCGGCAGCAGCAGCAGCAGCGGCAGCAGGGCGCACAGGCGGTTGAGTTTGGTGAGGGAGGTGAGCACACTGACAGGGCCGCTCAGACCGTTGCGATGCAGGTAGCTGCAACACAGCGGGGAGGGACGTTGGGCGACGGTGGAAGTGAGAGGGAGCGAAGGGGGTTAGAGCAGATTGTGGTTGAGAGGCCAAAGTGAGAAGACAACCCATGCAACCCATCCCTTTCCACACATGACATGCTCATGATCCTCTCTTCCCGCCTTCCCCGCACTCCTCTCAGCACGCCTCTTCCCTCGAATGAATCCCCCCCTGACTAAACCAGGGCGCTCACAGCTCGTTGAGGCGGGTGAGCTTGCCCAGGCCGGACGGCAGGGTGCCCTTGAGCCCATCCTCCCCCGACGCTGACAGCCCGCTGCATGTCACGCACGTGAGGGAGTTGAAAAAAAGGGGTGGGGGACGAGGGAGCAGGCGGAGAGAGCAGGAGGAAAAAGGGTGATAACCGTGATGCAAGAGCTCGAGGACAATGCTTATGCTCAAAGGTAATGCGTGCGCCCTCGGAGGTACCTGTGAGCCCTCTGCTGAGTGACAAGCGTGGTCGATCACATCACTCACATATCGTGTCGATACGTCAGCGGCGCATGCATGCACGTGTTCTTGCTTGCTCGCTCGCTCGCTCGCTGTGCCTGTGCCGCTCATTCACTCAGTAAGATTCGGAAGTCTCTGTCACAGTCCCCTCTGCAAAAGCGCGTGAGTGAGAGTCCGGGTGAGAGAGTGCGACTTACAGGTACTCGAGCTTCTGCAGAGTCGCTCACTCTCTCACGCGGAGAGAGAGTGAGCGAGTGAGAGTGCGTGAGAGGGAGCGTGAGCGAGCGACTCACAGGTACTCGAGCTTCTGCAGAGCACTGATGAAGTTGGGGATGGAGCCTGAGAGGGAGTTGGAGCTCATGTCGCTGGCGGTGGTGTGTGTGTGGCCGAGAAGAGGGGCGGGGAGGGGTGAAAGGGGGAGGAAGGAGGGGGGAGAGTGAAGAAATGACACGGTGCAAAGAGAGCAGCACGAATGGTACAAAGCAGTGTGCAGGAGAGAAGGATGGCAGGCGTCCCAGAATGAAGGCAGGAAATGCGGTGGAGTTGGACGGAGTGGTGAAGAAAGGTAGGGAGTGGCGCGTCGGTGGGGGGCAGCACTTGGTGACAGGAGGAGGGGGGAGGAATGGAAGATGGCTGAAAAAAACGTCATGACTGGAGGATCAGCGAGGGGCCACGTGACATGAGCAGGGAGAGAGGGTTGTAGCTGGCTGTGCAGAGCAGGAGACCATGGGCGTACAGGTGAGTAAGGGCCGTGAGCATGGGAAGCATGGGCGTACAGGTGGGTGAGGGCGGTGAGCTTGGAGACGAAGGTGGAGATGGAGCCCTCGTAGCCGGTGTCGGCGATGTCCCTAACGGGGATGAGCAATGGGAGAGAGAAAGAGGGCGACAGGGGGGGGAGAGGTGATAAGTTGCGGTTGAATAGGAGGTACATTCCGAATGCAGCGGATGACGCACTGGCGATGGGGGGGGGAGGAGGTGTGTGAAGGGAAAGGGAGGAGAGTAGAGGGGTGAGGAGATGAGGGAGAGAAAAAAAGGGGAAAAAAAAAGAGGCAGCAACGAAGCCAGCAAACAAATGATTGAAAGAGGAAAAAGGCATGGGTACTACCCGAGGAGTGTGGGGGGGCGCTGAGGAGCGATGGGTGGGAGGGAGGGATGGGACAGTGACTGACAGGTGATTAAGCTGCTTGAGGTTAGTGAGTGATGAGAACCCCGTGTTCAGGTTGTTGTTGCCCGACACATCGCTGCTCAGGGTGTGGGGAGGGGATGCGAGGGGAGGAGGGAAAGGAAGGTGGGTTAGCGCGATGAGTGGAAGAGCAGTGGGTGGGGGCTTGGGTTGGAGAAGGAACGAGTACGGCGCAGAAATGAGTCTTTGGCAAGGAGGGGCGAGGGCGTGGGAGGGGAGGGGCGGGAGTGCGCTGGTAAATGCAGCAGCCAAGGGCCGACAGAGTGTCAGGGAAGGGCGTGCTCAGTGCTCACATGTAAGAGAGGGCAGTGATTTTGGAGAAAGGTGCAGCGGACCCGGTGATGTTGTTGCCAGAGAGGTCCCTGCATTGGCCCACCACAATGGTACGTGTCACGGGGATCAGCTGATAAGCAACCAGCGGTCAATGAATGGACGCACGACGACCGTGTTAGTAAAAGAGGAGGCCGGGTGGCTAAGAGGATAGAGGGGATGAAGGCGTGTCATGAGGCGTGTCTGGTCGCCGTTTGTCTAGTGAAGCAAGGCAGGATCCGAGGATCCTGACGTGAAGCAGGAGAGTGGACACAAGGGTAAGGTGGCGTCGCACGTTGCACATCGCACGTCGCACGTACAGGTACTTGAGGGTCTGCAGCTTCGTCAGCACGCCGATGGCTCCCGACGCGCCCGCGTCCGCGATCGTCCTGCGAACAGACACAGGGAATTGGCCGATGCGGCCAAGAGAGGGGAGGCGTCAGCTGAGCTGAGATGGTTCATTAAGCACCAACGCACGGAAGCTTGGCAAAAGCAACGGGATGGCAATGTGACGAAGCATCTCACCTCGACGTCCAGACGGCGTGACAAAGGAGTTCTGAGTCGAATCACAAAACGAAAAAAAGAACTACGCGGCCGCGCGTCTGCGCGTCGGCGCGAGTCGGCTCACATGTTGATGACATGGCCGTTGTCGGCGCATTGAATGCCCACGTAGTGGTCGCACTTCTTGCCAGAGTCCGTCCACGTGTCAGATCCCTTGAAGTCGCCCCACGCGGTCACCAGATCCTCCAGAACCGTCTCTGCGCGCGCAATGGTTCGGGGGACGGTGCGGGGGGGAGCAAGCACACGTCGCGTTACAAATCAAGGCGGGATGTTGGACCTAGCGGAGCAAATATTTCCGCGTAACTGCGCGGCGAGGCATTGCGGTTGTAATAGAAGGAGACGAGGCATTGGCTCTGACAATGCGGTTAGCAGGCGTTGTGCGGTGATGATTGATGGATCGATTGAATGATTATTACGGTCGTCGCTGTTGATCTTGGGCACCGTCGCCACGGTGGAGAGCGGTACTACGCGCAGAGATTCCACGTGGAGGCAGATGTTGCTCGTGAGGCACGCCGCGAAAAGAAAAGCTAGCAGTAGACGATTCGCACGCGAAAGCGACGCCATGGTTGAGCGTTCGTGACGCCGCGTGGATGAGGGGTGCAGGAACTAAATCTGCCGCAGATGGTAGTGCTGTGAGCTTCAGAAAATCGTCCCTGAGGCTCCGAGATGAAGCGAGAAGGATAAGTGGATCCGTCGACGATGGTTGCGAACTGGAAAGGCGATTCTACTACACCAGGTGAGTACGATTCAGCGGACGTTTTCGCTTTGTACCTTTGATTCTCGCCGAACCGCCTATCCAAGCCCATCTCCGCCATGCCAAGTCGCGTGATTCGGCGGCGCGCAGACGAGCCTCTATGTCGAACAAGGCAAGGCGAGGCGACTTCTCACCCAAGCTGCCGGCGCTCGAGATTGATGCACTGCCAGCCGGAGTG